GGTGTCAACGATGGCCATGTGATGTGAGTATCAGTCACATGGAGGCAGTGCTTAAAAGCCTGAATTTTGCCTGAAACTCTCAGACTGAAGAAGCCTCTTGGAGGAGAGACGAAACGTTTCATTAGAGAAGAACCCGTCCAGAAGACCTATACAGTTTTTTTCTTTTTTTTAACTTAATTGTTCTTACCTTGCTTGATAATCTTTGCCACTATAGTTGTAGTTTAAAAGCTAATAGAATGCCCCTTGTTTGTCATTGTTACACAGGTGACTGACTTCTGCCCTTATTTTCTTCAGACTGAATTATGAATTGTTGGATAACGAGAAATCAAATCAAGACTTTTTATTTATTTTTTATTTAAATACCAGTTCACAAAACAACTTTATCTGCTGCTTTGCTACAAATAAATTGACAGCTTTCTCCGGAGATGCCTAGGCACTCAGCACAGCTACTAAATATTAATTCAGATTCTCCGATGCTTCCAGTCACTGTGCTCCCACCACCCATTCCTCTGCTTTTCCCTGCGAGTGTTTAAATTTTATAAAACCCTTGAAGCTTAGTTTTTTTTTTCCCTGAGTCCAAATGTATTTTTACTGTGCAAATAAGCTGCATAAACAGGTCTGCAGTGAAGAACAAGACACTCAAGACTGTTTGCTTTCTTCGATCGTGGTTAGTGGAGGGTAACAGGAATAATGAGACGGTGGGAGACCGTGGGGTGAATGTGCAAACGGGAGCACGGTGTGGACTTTAGAGTGACATTGCGGTGAACTCGGAGCAAACACCGGAGAATGACTGTGATCCTGTCTGACCTGGAGCTCTTTCTCCTTAATCTGCTGCTGCTGAGACAAAGCAGCCGCCTGCGTCACAGAGAGCTCGGCAGAAACGGCCATGATGCGCTGGCTGGCGTTGAACACGCTGGTTCGGACCTCGTTCAACTGGAAGCACAAAAACGTGCACYGATTAGGCTCTATGTGGACTTAGATACAGACCAGAAATACAAGTTGTAAAGTATTTATTCATTATACTTTTATTTGTGCTAGCTTTTGTTGCAAACAGATGTAGCTCAGTGCATTATTTATGCAGTTTCTCTTAGTGATATTTTTCCTAAGCTTACATTTTTTTTGGCGTTACTACACGTTTCCCAACAGTTTTTATGAATCTCAGAATAGTGCCTCATTAGTTGCGGCTTATTTGCTGCAGTAGCTCTAGTTAATTTGTGTGTCTTAGTTAAAGTCATATCTCGCTGTGACTACTGGCCAACTGTCACTGATTTATAATTTTTAAACCACTTTAATTTTCTGTTTCATGTGAGACTTCAAATTCATCTTTTAAATCAATCTTTGCTTCTGTTGCATTAGAATGTTATATACTATAACTATAACTACTATGTTATATACTATAACTACAGCCAACAAAAGAGCAGAGTAGTAGCCAAACAACGCCGGAGTATAATCTATATGCTCGTCACACACCTTCAGATGATGTATCACTGTGTTTGTGGAAGACACAGAAACAGAAAGGTCTTGACTTTAAATTAAAATGTAACTAGAAAATTTTTATTTCCTACTGTGAATGCTTATTACTGGAAAATTAAGCTGTAAGCTAAATTGTAATACAAGTTCAATGGAAATGTGAAAGAAGCATAAAAAGCTCAATTTTGCAGAAAGAAGCAAAAAAAAAAAAAGCAGAAATTAGCAGGAGAAAACAGAAAGGAACAGAATCTGAAATAGCAGAAAATAAAATTAGCAGAGAAAACAACAACAAAAAAAGTGACGATTTGTTGTACAATAGCTAAAACAGCCCAAATGTGTAGTAAAACAGCTAAAAAGCAGCTGTAATTTCTTAAATTAGCATAGCAAAGCATAAGAAGCTCAAGTTAGCTGAACTAAGCAGAAAGGAGCTGAATTAGCCACCAAAATGTGGTTAGCTTCAAACAGCTAACTTTAGCTAATAACAGCTAAACATTAGCTAATTATGCAGCAAAKAGCTGAAATACGCAAAATGCAACTGAAAGAAGTGTAAAGAACACAAGTTTGCTGAACTTAGCTGAAATAAGTTGTAATAGCTACAAAAACTGTATCTAACTGAAAAAGCCAACTTTAGCTAATAACAGCTGAACATTAGCTAAAAATGCAGCAAATAGATGAAAATAGCAGAAAGCAACTGTAAAAAGTGGATATAGCGCAAATTAACAGAAAGAAGCACAAAAACGTAGAAAATAGAAGAATAACAGAAAGAAGAAGAATTATAGCTGAAATAGAAGAAAAAAAGCTAAAATTAGCAAAGAAGAAGCTCAAATCAGCACAAGGAAGTTAAAGAGAGCAGAACTAGAACAAAAAAATGTAAGGTGCTGCAAAGATTTAGATATATTTTGAAGGATTTTAAGGAAGTTGAAAACAGCTCCATTCATTTTCAACAGGACAAATATAGCTGAAATATAGTTGAAATAGCTAAATACGTATAAAAAGCTGAAATACTAAGTCATAGATAGAATGCCCTGAAGGAACTGAATGTTCTGATATATAAATTGTTAAAATAGCACAATATGTGCCGAAAAACATATGGAAGAAAAAAYTGATGAATAGTGTGAATATAATGCAATAATGTTATGAAGCGTTCACACAATAAATGTTTCTGAATCAGACCTCAGGCTCTACAGCAAGGCAGTGCTTCTCTGATCTACGCCGACACGAATCGAGTTTCGTGCCCTACCTTCTTTGCCAGCGTAAGACTGTCCCGCCTGCCGTTCTCCACCTGCTCCCCGAGCGGCTCTGACAGCCGGGTCACCTGCTCCACCAGGAGTTCTTTTTCCAGCGACTGCCTCTCGCGCTCGGCTAGACTCACTTCCAGCTGCACAAACACAAGGGCAAAGTGGCTGCAGACTTGCAACGAGACTTTAAACTCGTGGGGTGACGTTGCCATTTTCACGAACCCGCTCGATTTTCTCGGTGAGCTCTGCAATAGATGGGTCTTTGCCTTTTAGCTCCTTGTAACCAGCTGTTTGGTTCAGACTTTCAAGGGTCTTGTCTCTGGCTTCTGACAGCTGTAAAAAGCAGAAAACTTATATAAAATCAGATTTAGATATATTCATATAGAGCATCTTTAAAGGCCAACAGAAAAWTTCACAAAATGAATAAATCTAAAAAGTACACAGACAGTATGAACAAGAACCTAGAGTTTCTGTCTGAGTCTTGTCCTCCTGGTATTTGTGATACAGCACTAAGGTTTAGAGGGGGAAAAAAAAAAACTCTTTCCAAGCTAAATGTAGTGCTTAGATGAGAGCTGCTTCCCACTAGGTGACAAGTTACTGGGAAAGTGTGATAAGAGTGAGCAATATTTTAAAAAGCTTGGAGGAACCCTCAAAGGGAGCTATTTTTTTCTTCTTTTATTTCTTTTTTTTTTGGTTGGTTTTCTGACATCCCTTAAGACAGCAAAAACTGAAAAAGAAGCAAGGAAATGTGAGAAAACAAACAAAAAAAGGTTCAAAAGACAGAAGAGGGACACAGATACAAGCAATAAAAGGGCAAAGTTAGAGATTCAAGCTTTTAGCGCTAAAAAGGAAGTGCTGATCAACCGAATAGATGAACAAGGATTATTCAAAACTTCATGTAAAGATGGCTCAACTGTTCATTTCTTTCAGTGCCACTTTTCAAGATCACATCACTAATTACTATGATATTACCAACTTTTAAAAACTGTTACGGCCAGAGGTCTTTCTTCTATGTTTATACTAAAGCATGGAATGACATTCCTCCAAACATAAAGTCCATTTCAAAACTACAGCCCTTTAAGAAGAATATTGTCTGCCATCTGCTGGACACTTTTTGTTGTGCTCATATTTAGATGTCCTATTTTGCAAATGCTGCCTTCCTGAAATTTGGTATGCTTGTTTGTCTTTGTGTCTATGGTGTATAATGATGTGATTGTGATGCTGTATTTCTGAGTGTTTTATGTGCTGCAGAACAGGAACCTGCTGTAAAACAGCAATTATGCTGAGTCAGGCTTGATTTTTAGTWATCTTTTCCTGTTAAATAAATAAATCAAATCAAATCAATTAACCCAAACAGCTGGGACTTTTTCACTGCATGAGAAAACTTGTCCAGGCTTTATTTTCTATGAATAATCCACAAAAGAAGTCTGTCTAATGAAATGTAAATTACTCTCTCAAAGGCTCTAAAGGTACGTCGAGATTCTCATACGACTTTATTAAAGAGAACACAGGCTTCAGATGTTGCATGCTTTTGATTTATATTAATTTAATATATCTAAAATAGATGTAGCAGAGCCAGATGTCTGTATCAGTGGAGGTTTGATGCATTTCTGATGCTATAATATTGCTTTCTGATTTTAGGACGACTTTATAACACCTGCCAAAAGACGCCTTTTGGGTGGTGCATCTTTTTTTGGTTTTTTGGTTTTACATTTTAAAATGTGGTGRCCTCTTTCAAATAAACAAAAGGAAAACAGGCCAAAAACAAAAGAACTGGCAGTAAATAAAGAATGCTCTAATGTTATAAAAATGTTGGACATTATCTATTAAATCGAGCTCATTCGTATTACAAACATGTGTGCTTTGGCTTCTCTGTGAAAGRCATGTACTATGAAATATGTCTGTATGTGAAAATATATGAACCTGAGATGATCGAGAAGCCATGAGGACAATAAAAAGAAGAAAAACAGACCAGATGACAAAGATTAGAAACTGAAGGCTGGAGAGAGAAAAATGAGAAAAAGGGCGGTTTGTCCGACGGCAGAAAATACCTGATTGAGACAGAGGTAAAATGGAGTGTGGTTTGATTTTACGAGACCGGGTTCATAAAAAAGGCAGCTTCTCTCCATTTAACAARGTAAGGCACCAGTGAATATTTATGTTGCTGGATGTAGTGTTAGTGGAGAACGACAGCGTGGAACCAAGTAACGATTCCCATTTTCACCTCCATTCATGAATGGAATTAATGAAGGTCACAATTTCCACCCAGAAAAACAGGTTTGATTAGAACAGACTCAGATGATCAGTCAAGGTTTTAATGAAGCCGTTTGTTGAGCTAAAGTATGGGTGAGATAAAAAAAAAACATTTAAAAAAAGGAGAAAAACTGGCAGTAAAGAGATGGATTGAAAATGTGCTCAGGGATTGATAAAAAAAACTGACAGCAGAGGATAAAGTAAAGAGAGCTAAGGAAAAAAGTGAGAGGAAGGGAGAGACGGCGTCAAAGCAAACAAGAAAGACGGGACTGAAGAGACGAGAGATGCGAGGACTTKAGAAGTGGGGCTGACCAAGAGGGACGAGCAGTTCGCGCCGACAACGGGACAACAAAAGCTCGTCATCGAGTGAGGAACTCAAAACTATAAAGCCACAATTATGCGACAAATCTGGCAAATAGATGATGAACATGCAAATGAAGGTTGCAGAATTTGTAGTTATTATTTAAATTACAGAGAAGGTASATATTTTTCCATTTTTGAGAAGGAAATAAAACTTTTTATTTATTTATTTTTTGGGACATCCCTGCAGAGTAAAACTGATGTGTTCTATTTAACTTTATTGTAGCTGCTTCACTCACAGCTCCAGTTTAACTCATAAAATATTAAAAACTCCYATATATTTGCAGTTGCATTGCACACAGGTAAGGTACAAATAACATGACTAGTGTTAGAAAATAAGAAAGCCTACTACTGCTACCGTTACAAGCAAACTTTAACCAGTAAGATGAATATTTTTTGAGTATTAATGAACCTCTTGAGTTGATCAAACCCCAGAATAAGATGTTTGTGGTCAGCCCTCACMTTTACTTCTGATTGATCTGTGCTCCACTCTAAACCCTACATGATGGATGGTTAACACGTCTCAATCAAGCTCCACCTCTCTTCAATCAATGTCTTCTCTAGTGTCTTCCTCACTTGTAGCCTTTCATWTCCACCACATACACTGACGTTTGTCTCTTTGTATCCATTTATTTCTGTCAGTTCTGCCTGCCTGCCTCTTTGTTTTCCTCATCTGACACCAACAAATCACAGATGTGTTTTTTTTRRTCCTTTCTTCTTCTGGCTCYTGACTGCTGTAAAACACTGTAGATATGACAGCTTCCATGCTGCCTTCAAATTTGCATTCGATTTGCATAATTTCAGCTCAGTGGGTAGTTAACAAGATGGCTTAAAAAGCCACACAATAGATGCGCTGTTCAACAGCGTTACCATAAAAATGAATAATGACCTTATTTATATACCACAGCCCGAGATTAGGTTATAAAAAGCCTTGTAATAAATACAGATAAAGTGCAAAAAGACAGATTAGTAAAGCAGAAAGGTCAGCAGAGGAAAAAAGAATTGTGTATAAGGTTGTGAAATGTTAATTATCAAAACACGGGAGCGAAGGAGCTGAAATGAAGCTTTCATAGTGCCTCAGTGTGGTATAAATATTAATTCAACATGAACAGGTCTGCCCCTTTTATGTCCTCCTGGAGACAACAAAGTTAATATTTAGGTTAGATTACAAACAGCAAGCTTACACCCACATAAGCATCTAAAATGGTTATTGTGGTGTTCACAATGAACAGATGAAGCAGCCCTTACAGAAGAAGCAAAGGGTTTATTTCTAAAGGAGATCAGAAAGATGAAACTGAGTTTAATAAAGTTCTACTTTTACTCTGAAGCTCTCATTTTTACTGTATCACAAGGATACAGTAATATAGCCTTACAATACATATTTTACACTGTAAAAATGTACTGTCTGTTTAAAGTTTTGTGAGCAAGTATGTTTGTGTTGACGCTTCACTAAGAATTGCATGGATTATCCTAGGTTTATTATCAGTGTGCATTGCCAATGCAATGCACACTATTGTGATTCCTTTCCCATCCAAGCCACCTCCACTTTGGCATGCTTCTCCTCCTGCATACTTTGTCCTAGAGCTGCCATTGTAATTTATATCTGTAAAGCTCCTGTGCCAAATGATGGCTATGCCTTTTGGTGCCTGTACAACTTATAGTTTTTGAAATATTAATGTTTAATAAATTATAATGGGAGTCAATGGACCTTGTACTGGTCCAATACTGCCCCCTGCTGTATCTACTCAGTATGGAACTGCACCATAGTGTAATAATTATATTTAATCTCAATTATTGCAGTGATTACAGTATTGATATACATGTAATTTCATGCATTATTACTATATTATTGTCTTATAAGCATAACCATTTTATATAATATTGCTCTACTGTTGTAATATTACGCCGTTCTTTGTCAACGATCATCATTGGCAATGTTGCCTCTTTCTGCACACATAGAAAACAACACTGGGATTGTACCTTCTCCCAGCACCAATGGTCTTGTGGTTAATGTCATAGCCTTTCATGTAGGAGATCAGGGTTCAAATCCCAGCTACAATAAGTTTAACAAAATATTTATTCTAACTTCATATTTTCACACAATTACCCTCATTACAAACACCTGCTGACAGCCACAAGCTGGTACTTGATTAGAAAACACATTTGAACTTGGTCAGTTCACTCTGCAAGTCCATTGCTGCAGGCAATGACATGCTACAAGGCAATGCACACTTGTTTTTACATTGTAAAAACCCATGTCTAGTTATTATTATTTTCATTTTACTAACAGAAATGTCCCGGGGGACTGGACTTGAAACCTTTACCAGAACCAGCTGACAGAAGGTCCAGTTTATGTGATCTGTTGTTTGACAACGTTTCGAGCTGCAGCTCCTTAAGGTTTTTTTTTTCTAGCCAAACTTAAACGCTAACAGCTAATCTGAGTGCATGTGGCCAAAACCAAACAGCTGCAGTCTCCCAAGGTTCTTAGCAGTTTTTGTAAGCATTATAAAATACTGTAAATGTTTAGAAAGCTGTGAATTTTGCATTATGTCATTATTCTGACAGAAGTTTTAATGATGAACAAGATGAACATGGTTGTTGCTCCCCCAAGAAATTCTATAATTGGGTATTTGTGTGTGTTTTTTTAGTTTATATTGGCCTTTAATATTTTTGTATTTATTTATCTTTGAGTCTTAAATCACTGTATTTTGGTGTGAAGCATCTTGTGATTTGTAAATAAATTTACTAAGTTACTTACTCACAGTACTTACTGGTTCCCTGGTCACTACTGGTTGAAAAAACAATTAAAAAATAGTGGAACAATTTCAAAATTTTCATTTGTAGATCATTGGGAATACTTTAAATATTCCATCATTTATAGTTCAAAAGAGAACCATGCAATGCTAAATTAACACCAGTTTAAAAGGTTAAAACATACCGTTCAGATCATCAATTATGAAACATTTTAGACTAGAGTTGCTTTAAAAGGATCCCTGATTAGTTGTAACATTAGACTTTATTTAATAAACATATGTTTTAAATGTAAAATAAGGACTGTAAAAATACTGTAAGATGTTCAGTTTTTATCATTTTTAAATTAAAAGTTTACAAATATATTGCATGTTGTCCTCCATCCATATTTTCAGTTCCAGGCTGAGTCATTTCTACCTTCTCCTCTCTGTCAACGCTCTCTGGTTTCTTTTAAAAGAGTCAATCATCAGATATTGTCCAAGATTAACCTTCAGGGTGGATATAGCTCGCTCACACCGAGGGACCTATCCACGTCATCATTTACCCAGAATGCTTTGCATGTAAATAAAATGGCCCCGTTCGTGTAATATATTTTTAAACTTTTAGTTTAAAAATTATAAAAACTATACAGCCTACAGTATTTTTACAGTCTTTATTTTACAGTTAAAATAAATGTTTATCAAATAAAGTCTAATGTTACAACTTATCAGGGATCCACTTTGACCTTGGCCCCGATGAGCTCAGCATTTTAGTCAGACTTTTATTTCTCCAAAGTGAAAGTGATCAAAAAGCTATTACAACCAAAAGAATAACCCACCAGAGAACATCGCTTCAAAAGATCTGAACTATCACTTTAAGACACTTCCACACCCACTGTAAAGTCACAATTCAAAGAGGGTTTTCCCCCCCATGGTAATAAGTTCCAGACAGGTTGGACAAAGGTTTAAGGAGGGACCCTGCTGGCTGTCAGCAGACCCACGTTTCTGTAAATCTCTCTCCATTAATGAGCGCTCTGTGTTCGTACCCAGCAACTTTTTTTTGTAACAGAAGTGTGCCGTAACAAGTCGTTAAGACGACAGCTCGACGAAATTTAGTTGTCACGGACGCTGCAGAGATGCGAGTAGCCGCTGATGCATGTGCACCTGTATGAAAAGTCGACGTGCCAGCCTTCCATAAACAAGCAGTAAATCCAGAATCAGACAACAACCTCTGTTGATTTTGCAGCAATTAAAATTCCTCAGAGTAATGAAAGCCTCCGAGTGTATTGAACTTCAATAATATAACAGATGGCTCAATCTATCTTTGTCCAAACTTCCCAACAAAGGGAGGGGGGGGTCCATCTGCAACGAACAGATAAACTGGTCGCGGATGAATACAAATAGACAATATATATGATAAATCGAAGGTAACTCAGTTGCATGGAGATTGAGTTCACATCGAGATTGAATTCAAATAGAGAATGAATAGAGTTGGCAAGCTTCCTGCCAAAGGAGAGAAATCCATGATTTATTATTTTTTCTGCACCCGAGGGAGCTAAGAGGCTGTACGGGGGGGAAACTGTGACTTAAAAAATGATTTGCTATGTAAACACGGAGGGGATTGAACGAGAAGCTAGAGTGATCAAAGGAGAAACGATGAAAAACTAATACAAGGATGTAACAGTTCATTTTTGGAAGGTTTGAGGAATGTTRAATTAAAATGTTCTTTGGATCATTGGGCTAAAGAACTGATGAGACAAACAGAAAATAAGTACAAGCACTTTTCCAAAAAATCTACAGTGGAACATAAACAAACCAAATGTTTAAATTGATAAATTGTACCTTTGTTAGGGTTAAATTCTCAGGACAGAGGCAATAAAAATACGTTTATGAAATTTATGAATCATCCCATACTGGTTTTATTTACATTTCACGACATATCCCAACTTGTTTTGGATCGAGATTGCAAAAAGGAAAATGCCACCAACATGGTTAGTTTTATCAGATAAACAGCAGAAGGAGAAAACAGATGGAGGAGAAAAAAAAAGATTGTTTTTCAAGAGAGCAGCACATGGTGATGTCTGTTCCAGTGCTGCTTTCATCCAAAACAGCCAAAGATTCACATGTGAGCAACGTGGACCAGCAGCAAGACTCAAACCAGTCGCTACGATCCAGAGCTGCAACACACCCAATCCCTCGATGCCGCCACTGGCAGGAAGGCTCGTTATGAATGTGTGACTGTTGAAGATCACTGCACAAGTGTGTGACGCTGTGAATTGTAAATCTGTGTGAAAATGGTGGTGATTTCTCCGTGTGAGTCCCGGCCTGTCCATGAGACATTTGTGGGGTAGATCGAGGTTGTTTGGGTGTTCCTGCATGTGTTTTCAGTTTAGCTAACAAGAACAGTTTGTCTGGTCAAGCATACAAAAACACATGAGAACACATGAACTGGGTTGACTCCAGTTGTGGATGTGTGCCATGAGATTCAGGAGAGTTTTTGGTACCTCTACAGACAATCACACACACAAASGGGCAAAATGTTATCAACTTGTGCCTTAAAGTGCCTGTGACAACATTTTTAATTAAATATGAATGCATTTTTGGAAAGATAACATTGATAATATATTGCAAAAAATTTATGCCACTGAGATGAACAGTTGTTGAGGTATTTGCATGCAAAACAACAGGAAGTGATGACAAAGGGGAACACATGCATGTAAACTGAGCATTTCTATAATGGCTAACAGCACAGACTTTAGAGAAGAATCATGCTTATTCAGAGCATTTTGAGTCACTGAGAGTCCGAGTTCAAATGATATTTTTTTCAATTCTTAGAGTTCCCCTTTGATGTCACTTCCTGTTTCACTTTTGCAGGGCCACGTTTAAAAGAAAATTTGTGACCCATCACATCGAAACGAGGATTAAGTCCAAAAGTGGAATGTGGAAAAATAGGCACATGTAGGGTTTTGATTTAAATATGTGCAAAAATTGCATTTTGCCAAATA